CAGATGATTTTGATTCGGTGATAATCAAATGATATTGGTAATTACGACACTCAGGATAATTTAGTAGCCTCAGCCACAGAAGCAAAATTAAATGTAGATTGAGATTGATATGAAAAACTTTGAACTGATACAAATAAAACAATAAATGAACAATCCGATCGCGCGCTACACTGCATTATAATCTTTTATTCGCAAACACACGATATAAATACTAAAATAAAACAGACTATATTATGTATCTAATAATAATAATCATTCATTTATCTCGACCACAAAGATGATACCATGCCAATGACAAAATAATAAATAAATAGTAATAATAATGATAAATAAAAACAAATGAAATTACATCTCAATATACAATTAAATTTAAAAGTTATTAAATATTTATTTTTTACAAGTCTCCGAAATTGCGGCACTGTTGCAAACACTTAACTGAAATATATCATAGAGTAACTGAAGTGAGCAATGCAGGTAAAATGTTGCTGGCGGACATATCATATGAAATGAAATGAAATAAAACCTTTATTAGCCATCTTGACAAATGAAAAACTTATTAATACAATAATAAAAATAAAAAATACAAGAAAACTTAATGTAACGAACAGGAAAAATGAACATAATAATCTAAGATGAATCAGGAAGAATCAGGACCCTGCCTCAGTTTATGCTGACACAGTGAGAAAGTACTTTCTCATTGTAAACCCGCCCACTAAGCTCTTTCTGTGAAACTGTTAACTAAAGATAATATTGAATATCCATCGATGCTTTTCAGAACAAGTATCTTAGTGGCGTTATAATGATGGCGCTGCCTTGCAGCTTAAGAATGGCTAGAAGAATTTCGACGCGGTTGTCAGGGCTGCGGTAGCATAATTGGTCAGTGCATTCGCCCGGATAGCGAAGGGTGCGAGTTCGAGTCCCGTCTGCTGCCTGCTCCGCGTGGATTTTTTTCTAGTTATATTTTCTTAAGATATAACATTTGGATAATTATCTGGTTATATAATGTGCGATATGGCACATTATTATGGTTACTAATGAAATAAAATGAAGGTACTATTAAATTAATTTATTTAGCTACTTTTAAATGTGTCTCATCTTTCGATTACCAACGGGGCTATTGTGTAATAATATCTGAATAGCCTCGCAGGATATTTTTTACAGTATTATAATAAAAAAGGCAAATTTCTCATAGATTTTTCGATTCATATTAATTACATTGTTGGCGGAGCTGGGTGTTTTTGCCCATTGTCCTTGAATAACAATAATAATGACGATGACAGGTTGGTGCAGGGACAACGCTCATGGTTTAGACTTCAAAGTATCTGAGTTTGAATCCCTTTAGAGATATTTGTGTGATGAGCAGAAGTATTTGTTTCTAACTCAGGTTATTTAAAAACTTTTAGGTACATATATTTATTCTATATGGTATTTAATTACTATAACACAAGGTCTGCTTAGTTTGAGACTAAATTGTTGGGAGTTCTTCGGAATCCACTTACATTGTTATTATATTTAACTAAAGAGTTTATAGTTATTAATACTATGACGATGCCTACTCGACGTATATGTCGTAGGATGATTTAGCAAATAGAATTTTCCCGAAAATCATACTAATTTTGCGAAAACGCGAATAATTAAAAAATGATGAGGACATTGCTCAATCTTACTGCTAGCGATTTTTAACTAGTGTGAACCAAAAAACCCAAGAATATTAAGGTATAAATAATAAGTCAACGATTATTTTCACAATCTTACTGAGGCGAGTCGCATTTTCGTAAAAATCCTTCCTTTTTGAAATTATACTTCTTTAGGCGCGTTATGAAAAAATGATGAGAGTGAAATTTTTAGATGCGCGCGCATCACTGTAACACAATAGTAACACCATGAAGTTGGCCGCGGGCGCGTTATGAATGTTAGTGTCTAACCACTAAGTGGTTAATAATCCACCATTATTAGACATCTGTTCGAAAGGTACTTTGAACGATCCATGGAGCTCCATAAGATGATCGCGTTGTCAAAAACAATGTTGGCACGCTCGTCGCCTCTGATCACTGTTTTCATATTTATAATATTTATCCACATGTTTCTAGTTTCTATATAGACACAACGTGTTTTAGGTACTTACAAGTGCTAATTACATATGGACTAATAACTTAAATTCAGTAGTGATTTTAATTGAATATTTTGAATATTTATTTAATTTTTCAAATTAAAACGAACTTAATTGACTGTGTTAACTATCCTTTTCCAGTCCTTTTATTATTTTATTGTAATTATTAATTATTTGCATGCAATTAAAAAATATTTTTAATGATGCTAAAGAAGTATAACTTCTCACGCGCGTACATAAGTTACACTCATCCATTTTTTTTCAGTAAGATTGAGAAACCGCCACCGTCACCGCCCTTGTGTAAATTATCCATGTTTTCGCAATTTCCCTAGATTCTTTGCGAAAATTCGATTTATCAAACCATTTTACGACATGATAATATTAGTAACATTTGTAAGTATTGTACTTCTGTCGTTAAACACTACCGGGCAAATCCTGCAATATCCGCTGTGGCTAAATATACATTGCAGCCGAGTATTCCTGTTGGTTCCTGTTTGTTCCCGGCGCTCGCTCGTCAGACACAGCTCTCCGAATCGTGAGTTATTAAACGGCAAACAAGGAAATGCAGAATACTTAACCACGAAGTGGGGTTAAACTTGCAACATAGTTACACAACCCAACATTTTAATGAAAGTACAGAAATTCGACGCCGTAGATGGCGCAAGTTATATATATACAGGGCGTTCCACGGCTACCTCACACGGAGGGAAAGTCTATTAAATATTGAAGATAGGATATTTTACTGAAAGAAGACATCATTTTATTTTTAATAATAACTAGAACTACATTCACAGATTTTTTTTAAAATCGCCTGTTACAACTGGGAATCAATCTCGTGAAATTTCGAAAAAAACACGACATATTTTATGATAACCATCGAAAGGGTTAATCATAAGGATTATGTTTTGCTAAATAACATAGCATTTTAAATGAAAGGAATGTCTTATTACGTGATAAAAATAATGAAATGATATACAAATTGTAGTACATAATATGCATTTCTTTTTGGTCTTGAAGTATGGTAGTTGAGTCACTAAAGGGACTGTACATTTTATGGCGTTAGAGTTGTCGTTATATGGAAAACAGAAAAATCAGAATTATGAAAAGAAAAAGGTTATATGTACTAATGCGGAATTTTGCGCTCGACAGAGCGCATTTCTAAGTGACAACTTGGCGAACAAAATGCTTTGAACTTATTTCTACAGTAGTTTTTACTACGCCCCGCCTTCGCGTCGGATTAGTTCAATATCTCTTATCTAATAGACAAGTCCGTCCGTCCGTGAGATAGATAAAGAGAATGTTTAAGTTATAAATTAAAAATAGTCTGATAAGACTACACTTCCGGTTTTCGAGAAATCACGTGATTTCTATTTCAAACGAAACCACACAAAATCTCCGAAGTTCTCAATTAATTAAATACTTTTTTTTTTTGGTGAACATTTGGTTCACTGGTTTGCTAGTTTCCCCATATATGTTAATGTAAACATAGCTTACTTGCCAAGCTTCAATTTGAAATGTATAATAGGCCTCAAATGTCTTGCTAAAACTGCTGATATCGATAATAGTCTATAAATTTGCTGAGGTACGTAGAATTATCTACCCACCGTCTCATAAGCCTATAAGTTATTATAAGCCTACGTTGCCTGATTATAAACAAATAAATATATAAGTATAATGATTAGAGAGAAGATAGGCTTGTTGAAAATATATCGATGTATCGATATATCGATATTTTTTGTTCGATATATCGATATTTTTTACCGATATATTTAGATTCGATATATCGATACATCGATACAAAATAACCAATATCGAAATTCGTATCAAAAACGATATTTTTTTAATTATTAGCGGCATATCACGATCTAACTAAATTCGTATCTGGAAAAATCGTAACTGGATCTCAGATTAATGATATTCAACATATCTATGATCTGTGCTGTATTTAGTATTGTCTATGTCATCATTCAAAAATAGGGTCTATTTTTAGGGAGATAATTTTCGTTCCATTATTATTCCGCGTGTCATATTTCGTGAGCTACTGTACGATATTTTTGGGAAAATTGGTCCGATATATCGATATATCGATGTTTTTTTCGCGATATATCGAAGCCGCTATTGATATTTTTTAAAAGATCGATATATCGATATTTTTTTCAACTTTCGACATCCCTAAGAGAAGAGAGAGAGAGTGATTAGTTCTTTCAATTGAAAAGGTCAAAAGTTTGATGCACATGAGAAGGAACCTTAATATCGTTATCCCTTTCATGTCTGTCATAAATATATGTGTGATAGTTATAAATTGACGTCAATTATCATAATTGAAACAAGTTTGCTCAATTAGCAACTCTGGACGGGTTTCTATTTTGGTCTTTGGCTGGCGGTTCATTTCAGCCGCAAACTGTTACCCGGTACTTTCTGATAGTTACCCACTTTGTTACTTCAATGAAATTTCAGCCGAAGTAGTATTACTTACGAATGGCTTCATCAGTTAATGCCACACTCAACGGAATTTGTGTAATATATGTTGTAGTTTTGAAGGAATGCTTGGTATAAGCTATTTATAAGTTTAAAAGAGAAAAACGTGTAGAGTTGAAGACGATATATTTTCTGAAGTGAGTAAGTGTCAAATATAAACAAACATTGTACTGGGACATATCGCGACTTGTACAGAGGCATATCGCGACTTGTACTAGGACATATCGCGACTTGTACTGGGACATATCGCGACTTGTACTGGGACATATCGCGACTTGTACAGAGGCATATCGCGACTTGTACTAGGACATATCGCGACTTGTACTGGGACATATCGCGACTTGTACTAGGACATATGGCGACTTGTACTGGGACATATCGCGACTTGTACAGAGGCATATCGCGACTTGTACTAGGACATATCGCGACTTGTACTGGGACATATCGCGACTTGTACTAGGACATATCGCGACTTGTACTGGGACATATCGCGACTTGTACTAGGACATATGGCGACTTGTACTGGGACATATCGCGACTTGTACAGAGGCATATCGCGACTTGTACTAGGACATATCGCGACTTGTACTGGGACATATCGCGACTTGTACTGGGACATATCGCGACTTGTACTGGGACATATCGCGACTTGTACTGGGACATATCGTGACTTGTACTGGGACATATCGCGACTTGTACTAGGACATATGGCGACTTGTACTGGGATATATCGCGACTTGTACAGAGGCATATCGCGACTTGTACTAGGACATATCGCGACTTGTACTGGGACATATCGCGACTTGTACTGGGACATATCGCGACTTGTACTGGGACATATCGCGACTTGTACTGGGACATATCGCGACTTGTACTGGGACATATCGCGACTTGTACAGGGGCATATCGCGACTTGTACTGGGACATATCGCGACTTGTACTGGGACATATCGCGACTTGTACTGGGACATATCGCGACTTGTACTGGGACATATCGCCACTTGTACTGGGACATATCGCGACTTGTACTGGGACATACCGCGACTTGTACAGGGACATATCGCGACTTGTACAGGGACATATCGCGACTTGTACTGGGACATATCGCGACTTGTACTGGGACATATCGCAACTTGTACTGGGACATATCGCGACTTGTACTGGGACATATCGTGACTTGTACTGGGACATATCGCGACTTATACTGGGACATATCGCGACTTGTACTGGGTCATCTGTCATATAAGAAATATTTTCTTTAGATTTAAACATCGAGCAGTTATATGCTTAAAAATATAAATTACAAGTAGCATCTTCATTAAAATTAATTAGGTACTTTTTAATTTCGCTACTCTTAGAAGTAGCGAAATCATATTTCCACGGTTTGTGTTTGTCAAAAGTGGTAGTATGTACGAGTATGATAATAAACAATAAAATAAATAAATACTTCCCACACTAACATTAATTAGCATTGTTTTTTCGATGAATTTCATTAGGAGACAAAATGCATTATATCCAGAACAATGACCAACGCCGCGTTGGCTTGGTGTGAACAAACCCTCGCGATGCAGGTAATGAGGGCTATCGCGTATGAATCCGTAGAGGCGCTAGTGTAGCGTGAGGTCTCCGAAATGTCAAATGTTATTGGTTGACTACGCGGGTTTATTTCTTATTAAAATAATGTTGTGAATAATTGGTAACAATTCGGCTTAATTATGGCAAATATGAGTTATGTGGCAATGAATGTCAGTTATTAAAAATTTGAGCTTAGAAAAATGATTATGTTCCCATTTTTTTCGAATCAAACGGAACTGTGCGTCACTGTGGCATGGCCTATTATGTTTAGTATATGGTTCTTTTGTGTTAAAATACGATCTAAATGTAACCTTTGATTTCATGTGCGTATTAATAAACTTTAAAAGTTACAATTTAGGACCTCACTCAACAGTGGCGCCATCTGGTGAGACAGAAAACGGTAGCCCTCATTGCGTGGTGCATTCGGCCAAAGGTGAGCAGCCCGGGGGCTCATAGTCGGTGCAGGAACACTTTGGCGTGCACTCACGCAAGCGTGGCAGACGTCAATCCTACTTAACTATGGGTGAGTTGAAAATTATCATAGGCACACACCCATGCGCGCATACACATACACTCACACGCACGTATCCACACTCTCACACACACATCCACACTCCCACACACACAGACTCACACTCGCATATACACACATAGAGTAATTATAATTCGAGGATTTGTTATTAAATATATATGTAACTTGTAAAAATTTTCACTAATAAAAATGTTTAAAGTTACTATAATAATTTTACTATTGTCATATTTTTTGTCTTAATGTTACTCAAACATTTCAGTATTACCGTAACTTCCTCACTCACAATGTTCACCTCCCGAGTTTTGTCAACATATTTTAATGTAAAACATTTAGAAAAACATTTATGGTCATCCATCCAATGACCGACCACTGCGAAAGTTGTTATGTATGTCAAATTTAGTAAATTAAACAACACAATAGAAAGATGACGTTTTATTATAAAAGTAACGTCATTAATGCTATAGAAGATATATTTATAAAAGAACAAAACGGATTTAGAAAAAAAGTGTCTGTAAATACTGCAATCTTTGATTTAGTAAAGAAAGCTGTAATAACAATGGATAAAACAAGGCCATCATGTGCTGTGTACATGGACATGACGAAGGCGTTTGACCGTGTAGATCACAAGTTACTACTTTACAAGCTAGAAAAATGTGGAATTCGTGGAAACTGTCTTAAACTTATAAAATCATACTTAGAAGACCGAGATCAATATACTGAATTAACACAAATATGTGTCGCTACCAGGGAAGAAAAGAAATATAAATATATATTTTTGAAAAACAAATTTATGGTCATCCATCCAATGACCGACCACTGCGAAAGTTGCTCAACTTCAACGATCGCAGCCGAACGCGCTAGCCATCTGCGCCATCGAGTTCAACGGTAATTTATATGATCATGTATAAATAACAATATATAAATTTGGTATGTTATATTGCGAAATACATATTTCAGCGGTGGAAACCATAAACTAATTAGTAAATAAAAAGTTAAAATAACTTTTATACATTTTTATTATCCGAAAATAAAAGACAGAAGAAATGGAAATGTCATGTTTTTATTTATTTTAAGCATTTAACTGCTAGATGTTTACATCTAAAGAAAAGTTTACTAGAAAAAAAAATCCACGCGGACCAGGCAGCGGACGGGACTCGAACCCGTACCCTTCGCAATCCGGGCGAATGCACTGACCATTATGCTACCACGACCCTGTTGGCCGTGTCGAAATTTTCCTAGCCTTAAGCTGCAAGGCAGCGCCACCTCTTCGCATTGTAGGTAACCCACAATGTCAAATGAATACTTTTTCAAGTATTAAACATTCGAAAGAAGAAATAGCAATTATAGTTGTGTTTTTAGTTATGTTTAAGCATTTAACTGCTAGATGATTAAATCTAAAGAAAAGTTTACTAGAAAAAAATCCACGCGGACCATTCAGCGGACGGGACTCGAACCCGCACCCTTCGCAATCCGGGCGAATGCACTGACCATTATGCTACTACGGCCCTATTGGCCGCGTCGTAATTTTTTTAGCCTTAAGCTGCAAGGCAGCACTACTAAAAAAAATACCATCTCTCTCGCATTGTAGGTAATGCGAAGAGATGGTGCTGGCCACAATGCCAAGTGAATTTTTTTTCTAGTATTTTTTTTTCTAGTAATCTTTTAAATAAAACTAGTTTTTACGGGTTAATGCACGAAACTTTATTTATTTATTGACGTTTCGCAGCCTTTTCAGGTCTGCATCGTCAGAATAATGATTTTTTATTTAAAATTGTCGAGCTACCTTCTATTTATTATTATTTTATTTTAAATAAAAAATCATTATTCTGACGATGCAGAACTGAAAAGGCTGCGAAACGTCAATAAATAAATAAAGTTTCGTGCATTAACCCGTAAAAACTAGTTTTATTTAATGAGTGATGTGCGTGAAAACCTAAGAAACAAATATAGTAATCTTTTCTTTAAATGTAAATGTCTCCTAACAATCTGTTGTCCATTGTGTATAGATTGCCAGGCTAATGAGAGAGGGGTAGGACAAACAACGTTCATAGACTAAGTACCTACAGTAATACACAGCCACAAAAACAATCAACGTTTTTTTACCGGGCAGTGGAGCTCAAAGTTTTAATACCAACCGCACGTTTGTACTAATGGTACAGAAGGAAGCTGTATCTGTCGCATATTATAATATGGGGTTACCATGAAAATATAAGAAAATTCCTGATAAAAAGTTGAACATACCCAAAAAAACGAACAAGTGCGAGTTGGACTCGGCACCCGAGGGTTCCGTACACATTTATAGGTACGCAACATAAACGGCCGTATCTCTTTTTTTATTTTTCCACAGCTTCAATGGGCCGTAGACCTTTTTTTTGTGTCTGGAAAATGCCTTACGCATCCTTCAACCACTGGGGGAGCGAGAAGAAGGTATGTGGGACTCCTCCCTGTCCTCTTCAGCCAGCTCTGGAGCTCGCTGATGTGTACAGGGCCCTACCTACGCCCTGAACAGGGCCACTAAAAACCAGGCAATACTCCTGCACCGTCACCCGACACGCACTATGAGGACCGCGGTCCCCCTACTGCGTGCCGAGAGCTGACCTGAGTATATCGAAGTCGGACCATGATAACTTTGCTGAGGGAATAATGTGGTCACACCAGAAAAACTTAATCTGGCAGCCCTTTCAGGATGTCATATCATGCGAGAATCTGTCGTATGAAGAACATTTTTTTTATTTTTTTTTGTTTGTGGAGTAAAAGAAGAAAGAAAATTGTACTGTGAGAAGTTACTTGTAAAATAATAAGTCATTATAAACTGCAAAGGAACAAACGAAGTCTGTTCTTATGGAAAAAGAGCAATGTTATGAAGAAATCCTGACATTTCTTGATACTTGTTTGTTTTTGTATTGATTTTTATTTTATTTCAACAGTTACATTCTATACCGATAAAAATAAAAATTTGTTTAAGAAAAAACGATAAAACTATTTTTTTTAATTGTGGACGAACTTTTTTTTGTAACATTTATTTATCCATTGTTATTAATTTGTAGTAGTAATTTGTATTATTTACAGTTTTACATTATCTACATTAATTGAAAAATTGTTTTCTTTTCTGGTACTTTATCCTCAGATGATCTTTTAATAAAAGGAAGTGCTTTGCAGAGTTGACCCATAATATGAGAGAAAAAAATGCGGTTGAATATGAAGGGTATTTAAAATATAGAAGGAGAGGTTGAGTATCAAGAAGAAAAGGTTACCAAGGATTTAATATGAATTAATTTAAGTTTTGGATTCAGATCTATCTTTAAGTGATTCACAGAGTAGCTAAAAATTTTTGAAAAAAAAAACTTTTGCTTATTTGCTTTATATTTCTAATGGTAAAATAAGAATCCTCGAAATCGATATCAGAGATAATTATATACTAACAACAATTAAACGATTTATGACCAAAAAGTTTTTTTTAATATTTATAAGCTAAAATAGCATCGACTAATTAAATATAAGTACCTGGCATGCTATGTGCAATTATTATTTACTCATAGCTGGAATGAATTATCTGTTTTATTCGATTTTTTGGTTTTAATTTACCCGGTAGGTCCCTGGGACTCCATTGAAAACTTTCCGCGCTCATAAAATCGTTAGTTTTTGGAATTACAAATTGTGCGTTCCAATACCTTCACGGAGTGACGGTCCGAGTGCGGGGGAGAACAGACGTTGCCGTTCGCGGCTTCTATCGGTAAGTAATCACGCTAGTGGAGTCCGTGGGACTCCAGCGGGGTATCAATGTTACAGTTTAAGTCTATGTACGGTATTTTTAACTGTGATTTTTTTTTACTTTCAGTTGATATAATGGCGTCTCGTAGTTGTATAAACGTCCTTGATGAAGATAATTGACTTCATATATTTGCCATAGTTGTACTAAGCCTGTGTGCCTCAGCTGTACAAAAATGTATGCAATAACTGTGACATCAACCGTGACTAGAAGGTCTTGCACGTTTTTTCTTTCTTGTTCAAACCATGTTCTTTTTTACTTTTTATAAGAA